GGTCACAATCTTAATTATATAAGATATTTAGATGACATAGTGTTGATAAAAGACCCGAGAAGGAAACTACAAATGCTCCTACAGAATGTAGCGATGGAAAGCGAGAAGATAGGATTAAACATAAACGATAAGAAGTCAGAATTCATGGTTGTTTGTAAAAGGAACCCACCTAAAATGCAAATTACAAATTGGGGACGTCAATATCAAACAAATACAGAAATTTTAATAACCTCGAAATGTGACGGTGACGGAAAATGTGACAATGAAATCCGAAGTTGCATTGCGATAACCAATGATGCTTTCTAAAAGGACAGAAAAGCTTGTCCTCTGCTCCAGCTGAGACAACAAAAATGATAATTCCGAAGAAATAATTTGAATTTCTCAAAACCTCACTTTAATTTGAATTTCTCAAAACCTCACTTTAACTTTGATTCGGGCTATAAGTCCAATTCCCGTTAAAAGACCGATTTGGGGCGAAATTCCGGAAATTGAGTTCTTCAATTCACAAACTCCGTGGAACTTTAATTGAGTTGAGTTCTTCAAATCACAAACACCACGGAACTTCAAAACCTTACGTCACAAAACCTCTCACTTTAAGACTGATTCCTTGGCATATTGAAAATATAAAATTGATTTCCTCAATTCACAAAATGTTGGAGATATGTCACACTGAATTTATAATAAAAAATTTAACATTATTCAGACTATTGTCCTGATTTTTTTTGCCATATTTATCACAACGTTTCGGCCGTTGTACGCTCCGGCCTTCTTCAGGTGGTTGGAATGTCGAACTGAACCCTTTATTTCGCTCACTGGGGTAGACTGTTCTAGTTCCACCTGCCATGTTTCATGGATGTCAGTTATCGGTTATCTCCTGTTAATTCCCCTCTCCAAGTTCTCCACTACCTTAACAGGGTATTGAACTCACATTCTTTGGTTCCTGTCACGGGATCTAACTTTATCCACTGTACCATGTGTCCTTGAGGACATCTGTGTGTGAATTTCTGGGTATTATAAACATTATGTCTTCAGCAACTATTTTTTACCAGTGCTCATATGCAATTTTTGCTGTTATCATTGCATGTTTTTTACCAGAACTCATATTACAATTTTTGTTGTTATCAGGAGATTTTTGTGGCCTAGCATATGTGCTGATTCCTTAAGTTTACGAATTTTCCAATGATGTTCTTTGTCTATGATTTCAACCTGATCCCACAGAGGGCAGTGATCCCCCTTTTCTCTCCATATATGGTCAGCCACGTCTGATTTTTTCACTTCCCCTTGTGTTACAGCTTTCTGGTGTTCTTGAAACCTTACCTTAAGAGGGCGGCCTGTCTCCCCTTTATAATTCTTTCCACAGCTGCACGAGATAGCGTACACACAGTCTTTAGTCATGTTCTCTTTTATCGAAGGTCTTACTCGGGAGAGATATCTGCGAAGTGTCGTCAAGCTTTTGAAGGTTGTCCTGATGTTATATGGACCGCAGATCCTTTGTATTTTCTACGATAACCCCTTCACATAAGGCAGACAGACTGTTTTCTGAGTGTTGTTGTCCTCCTCTTTTACCCACCTATCCCAGTTTTTTGGAGCTGCTCTCATGTACCCAGGGTAGTTGTTATGTTGTAAGGTACTACTTATACTGACGAATTCTTTATCTAATGTCTCTGAGTTCACATGGTCCAATAGAACCTGAACATCTTCCTGGTGTGGCCAGAGTATGAAGGTGTCATCTACGTACCTTAACCATATAGTTGGCTTTAGAGATATAGATTGTAATGCAATTTCCTCAAAGTATTCCATGTATATATTCGCCATTGCTGATGATAATGGCGAGCCCATTGCTAAGCCCTCATTATGTCGATATATGTGTGATCCCATTCCGAAGTGTGTTGTTTGTGTACAGAAAGTCAACATCTCCATCAGATTATCTATTGGAATACTGGTCCGTTCTTCTAGGGAAGAGTCAGAGGCCAATCTGTCTCTGACTACTGAGAGTGCCTCCTCCGTGGGTACATTGGTGAACAAACTCACCACATCCAAGCTCACCATCTGCTTGGATAGGATGGGAGCCTTTTTGATTATTTCCACTAAGTGGGCGGAGTTTCGGACATATGAAGGAAACTTTCCGATCAATGGGTCAATTATATCTACAAGGAAGCGACTCAGAGGGTGGCACCCAGAGCCTTGGCAACTAACAATCTGCCTGAGTGGAATACCGTCTTTGTGAATCTTAGGGAGACCGTATATGTGAGGTAGCTTGGTGTAATGCTGCGATAACTGCCTATACATCTTAGGTGCGAAGTGATCCTTGTTCTTGATTAGGATCTGTGACAGTTTGCGTTCCATTTTCATAGTAGGATCCTTTTTCACTTTGCTGTAGCTACCATTGCTAATGAGGTCTTCCAGTTTTCTTGTATAATCTGATTTGTCCATCACTACAGTCGCATTACCTTTGTCAGCCGGTAGTATGATGATGTTTTCGTTCCTCTGTAGGGATCCAATCGCCAGCCTCTCCAGTTTCCTGATGTTTGACATGGGCGGCTTGGCCTTCTCCAAGATCTGTCTCACCTTCCACCTTAGTTCATCCGCTGAGCCTGAGGGAAGTTCAAGACCACCTCCTAGAGTTTGGCAATGGTGTCCAAGTATGGCATTCGCCTGATGGCTGTGGCGAATTTGAGACCGTTATTTAATACTGATTCCTCAGAGGCACTCAGTTGATATTGGCTGATGTTGATTACTGCTTTCACTGGTGGGTGATGAACGTTGTGCGTCACCTTCTGATCTGGGAAGCATTCTCTCGGGAATCTGTTCCACAAAATAACGATTCTGGGAAAGAAAATGTCTATGAGAAACTTACTCCTTATCAATGAAATACGAAGGGGATGTGGAATGGAGGGTCCTGGTTTTCAAAGTCTGGACTGGTGGAACTAAAGAATGGAGCTCGTTTGAACATTTGCCATGGAAATAGCGATAATGCTTCATTTCTGGAAGACATTTTTCGCTATTCCTTTGAGCGTTCGGTTTTTTGTGTCACATTTACAACCGTCTGTTACTGTACGGACCTGCTTTTTCCCCAGGCCCACCTTATTACACCACCCGCATAATGAAGCTTACAGCACGTGTTATTCCCAAAAGGTTACCCATCTAGTGATGGATTCTGTGCTCTGTGACTGTTGTCTTCAGTGGGTGAACCTGAATTGCATTAGCAAGAGTATCATGTCCAAGGGCAAGTTTGGGATTGGCAGCGACTGTTATGCCTGAAATGCTTAAAATATTCAGAGACTTCTATATTTCTTTAAATAATTGATGATGACTAAATGATTTTGTAAATATAAGTAGCTTCTTTATTATATTTGACATTGTCAGGGCAGTGGTTGTGTGAACTGTGTAGGCAGGACTTGAACAACATGGATTCTGTGATCTGTGACTGTTGTCTTCAGTGTATTTGGCAAGAGTATCATGTCCAAGGGAAAATTTTGGATTGGCAGCGACTGTTATGCCTGAAGGGCTTAAAATATTCAGAGACTTCTATATTTCTTTTAATAATTGATGGTAAAAAAATGATTTTAACTTGTATTTTAACAATTGATGATGGAAAAGATTTTAAATTGTATTAACAATTGATGATAAAAATAAATCAACTTCCATGTTAAATCTTTGTGTTTATATTTTTAACATTACCTGCCTTCGTAATAATAAAAATATTTACCGGCAAAAATAAGCTTAAAAGCATGTCTGTCTATCAAACAGGGACGGAAAAAAATAGCCCCTGCCTAAAAATATATTTTAAAGGTGTCCGATATTTATGAGTAAAAGATATATTGATATATAGATATATAAATATATAGATATACAGATAGAGAGTATGTCAATATAAAGATGGAAACTGAGATCAACAACGAGCAGCGACAGCATGTTCCATTCTTGTCCTCAATATTGTCGCTCAGAACACAATATCGACCTCAATGCCCACTTTACATATATATATATATATATATATATATATATATATATATATATATATATATATATATATACCTATATATACCTGGCTCTTTAGGTTCATATTTAGGTTTGCTCTACTTAGTGTACATAGTTACTTTTGCTTTGCTCGTTTTGGAGGTTTTTTTTTTCTTTGGACGCTAAGCTTGGATTCTGGACGATTGTTTTCGCCTCAATTACATGTTCTTAATTCTTTCTTTTTTTATCCCTTATTTGCCCTGGTTTGTCCAATTACAAGCTAACATTCCTAAGGTCTTTCCAAACTAGTATAACTATATATATATATATATATATATCCAAGTATCCGACCAAAAAATACTATTCTTAAAAGAGTGCTCAATACAGAATAGAGCAAATATAATTATTTATTCGAAAATTATAACATAAATATGTTATAAAATCACTACAAAAATAGCCATTTTGTTTCAACACTTCTTGTGTCTTACCAAGTGATGGTGTTGAATGTAGATTCTATATATATATATATATATATATATATATATACTTTTTTCCACATCGGTAGCACGACTCGGAGTTTCATGTAAAGTGCAATCTTCAGGCAGCACCTGAAGATTGCGTTGTACATGCAACTCCGAGTTATGCTACCAGTGAGGAATAAAATATATATTTATTAATATATAGTTTCTGGCCATGTTATGTGGCATTGAGCATTATTTTACCACCAGCACCCTTTGTGCAATATTATATATATATATATATATATATATATATATATGTGTGTGTGTGTGTGTGTGTGTTGATTGAATGAATGAGTGATTTGGTTTTTTACTGTTTGTCAGCCTTTTACAGGTTATTTAAAGCCATAAAATAATTATTAAAATGTAAGAATTCTTAGGAGATAATAATTTACGGATGCAAGCCCGACTAATTAACCCATAGCTGGGGTGCGAAAAAGCGGTTTCATATCATTCCCAAAATCGATTTTCAAAAACGAGCCGTTATCCATTATACGACACGCACATCGAATCTTACAGCTCCTTCCAAGAATTCCCAAGTTGTCACACTTCTAGGTACTGAACCGGTTCAACATTGCTTAACTTCGTCGATCGTAGGAGAACCGATGTTTCAATGTGATATGGCCGTAAGCCCAACACACACACACAAGCATACGCACATATATATATATATGTGTGTGTGTGTGTGTGTGTGTGTGTGTGTGTGTGTGTGTGTGTGTTATTTTTAGTGGACACCCGTATTTGAACAGACACTCTGTTTATTTTAAGCAGAATTTCTTTCACACTCAAGTAAACTTTTTCAAGAAAATTTGCCCTCTAGCAGGATACGAACCTGCGTTACTCTTTTGTTTGATAAGTTTTGTGGTGTATGCAGGCCAGTAGACGAAATAAATACTCTTTAAAATAAACGGAACGTCATTAACTTTTAGATAGATAGATAGATAGATAGATAAGAACACATTAAGTTAGATAGATACAAACTAAGATAGATAGATAGATAGATAGATAGATAGATAGATAGATAAGAACACATTAAGTTAGATAGATACGAACTAAGATAGATAGATAGATAGATACTGGGCTAGGTAGATTGGTATCAATGGACCACCCAGTAAATACGTGTCGGAAATAAGAAGGTAACTTTTTAATCTACCATTTACGTACACACTGTCCAGATGGCTTTGCTGCCGACACTTTTATTTACTTCCTGTAAACCATCCAAAGTCCATAAGTTAATGACTGCTTTTAACCCATTGAACTGCAATCAGCTTTTGTGGTGACCCCTTTTGGCATTTGCACTGAAGAGTAACAACTTGGCCTACCACTGCGAAATTGGAATTCTTCAAAACGGTGTCCCATCAGAAGCAATTGCTTTCTTAAAGAGGAACCCAATCGACAGATTTCTAAAAGCATATTTATTTTATTATACACACGCACACACACACAGAATGAGAGAGAGATCTGCACACACATATATATATATATATATATATATATATATATATATATATATATATATATATATATATATATATGTATGTATACCGTTTTATATTTAGTCATTCATTTAATCATGATTCACTCATAAGTTTATTAAAAAGTATTTAAAATTGAGTACTCTTCAATATATATATACATATATTATGAAATGGACGAAGTACGACAATTATTTTTAAGACATTCTTTTATGTTTATGCATTCTTTTTATAGATACAAATATTTAAGTAAATGCTCTGTTTATAATAAACAGTATTAACGACATTTACCGGCCTGAATATCCGAGAGATTTTCATAGAAAATATGCGTCCTCCGACAGAAATCGAACCTGTATCCTATACGGAACCGTCATATAGCCTGATTAAGACGTATTATATATATATTTTTTAAGCATTACGCCCCGAGCAAGGCGTGAAGGCACTAGGATGCAGGGGGTTGCAGATAGGAGTGATAGAAGAAAGGATGAAGAGAAGGATAGTGGGTAGATCAAGGTAACTGGAGATGTCGATTGACATTATATTTGAATAGTTGGAGATTATAGCTCTCAGGGAAACAGTAATTGGGAAGGGTGTTCCACAGGTGAGAGGTGCGAGGTATGAAGCTATTGGAGTAGAAGAGACGGCTATATTTAAGTTTCTACAGTGAAAAGGTGAGAGCGGGATGCCAGCCTCGTAGGGCGCTTGAATTCATGGAGTCTGGGAACCAGTAAAAGCAGCTCATCGGAGCAAATACCATGAAAGTACGTGTAAAAAAGACAGAGAGAGGCGACGGCGCGTCTGTGAGAGAGCAACTGCCAGATCAGAGCAACCGCATATCCGCCTCTGGATCTTGTCAAGAACTCCGAGGTAAACAGAAGGTGCCCCAGACCATATATGGCAGCAATACTCCATGCAAGGGCGAGTGGTTGATTTGTATATTTGAAGTATCTCTTCCGGGGAGAAAAATTTCCTGGCGCGGCACAGAGAGCCAACTTTCCTCGCGGTGGAAGAAGCAATGGACTCAATGTATTTGTTCCATCTCAGGTCAGCAGTCAACGTGAGACCGAGCAGACGCAGAGAGTTGCTCTCAAGAAGTTGACTATCAGACATTCTAAGGGGGCAGGGAAGGATCTCTATGGTGATTACTAGAGAGTAGTTTAGTTTTTGAAGCGTTAAAGTTGACCAGCCAATTCTTGCACCAATTAACAACCGATTGGAGGTCCATTTCAAGACGAGCAGCCAGGTTAGTTTTGTCAGCGACACTAGATTTGTTTTTGAGGCAGGAGTAAATTGTAGTGTCGTCCGCGTAGATGCCAACTTGGGAATCTATAGCGTCAGGAAGATCGTTGATGAAAATAAGGAATAGAGTGATGCCAAGGATGGAGCCTTGGGGAACACCTGCGTTCGTGGGATAGGAACTGGAGGAGAATCCGTTGAGAACGACCTTCAATTCACGGTTTGACAGGAATGATTCTATTAGGTCAAACAATCGACCTGTCATACCATAACCCTGGAGCTTGCGAAGAAGGCCGGCATGCCAAACCCTATCAAACGCTTTGGAGATGTCTAGGGCCACTGCACGAGCCTCACCGTTATTTTGAAGGGCTTGGTAGACGGTTTCAGTGATGGCCGTAAGCACATCAGCTGTTGATCGGGCGTAGCGGAAACCATATTGATTGTCTGGGAGCAGGTCGTGTGAGATAAGATGGTTAACCACTTCGGCGTTGATTAGGGCTTCGAAGACTTTGCCGAAGAGGGGTAGGAGACTAATAGGACGGTAATTAGAGAGGTCAGAGGGGTCTCTAGAGTTCTTAAAGACAGGAAAAAATGGATGAGGACTTCCAGCAGTCAGGAAAACAGGATTCCTTGAGGCAGTAATTATATAGTTTAGAAAGGGCGGGCGCTAGCTCAGGCGCGCATTTCTTCAAAACAATGGCTGGTATGCCCTCTCCACTACTAGCCTTGTTGGGGTCTAAATTGGAGATAATCCCAAATACCAATGACGGGGTTGTCAGTTCTTAGAAGGAAGTCTGGTATGGATACACCGGAGGAGCCGAGCGTTGAATGACGGATCAAATTCAGCAAGAAATAAGTCAGTGTTATTGGTGAAAATCTATTTATTTCTCTATTGGATCATATTATTTAAGTTATGGCAATTATGTGTAAATAATATAAAAAAAAACGAGGCACGGTGGAGTAATGGCGGCTTGTATTGAGGAATCCAGAATTTCAGTCGAATCCATTACATTCACTTACGCGCTAATACCTTTGGAAAATGTATGTATCCTCTTCTTCTCTCCCAAGCTATTGGTAAAGAGCAGAACAAACTAGGTTCTATAGATCGTTTTTGGATGGTAACTGGTCTAGAAGGACAACTCAAAACCTGCGGAGGGTCGTTTGAGGACCTTGTGGTACGTAGAGCACCAGGTCTCTGTATTCGGCCCTTTAAAAAGTGTGGTTGGTTTCTGCGCAAAGCCTTCACCACTATAACCAAATCATATGTGCTGGTGACTGGGATGTCGGTTCCTAGGAACTGAGTAGCCTGACCCTCATACGTCGATAAACGACGGCAGAGTCCAGCATATATAAGTGGACCTTGAAGCCAGCACCCAGAGGCGACGGTCAGCTTCATGCTAAACGTAGTCGTCAGGCTTTTATAATTACATCCGCTCTATCCCTGATATTACACACTTTAACTTATAAACATATTTTTTAAAACATTGGTTTTCAACGTATTCTTCTTCGTCGTCAATGCTCTCCATTCCTTGAAAAGGATTGACAGCGATTATATTATATTAATCATATATATATATATATATATATATATATATATATATATATATATCCGATGTGATGAGAACGAAAGTAATATATAAATTCCAACGTTCACAGCATTAATTCAAAGGAGGGCTCGATACCGATAATAGAGCGATAATTATTTATTATAATTTTATCATATAGACAAAAACACTTTACTCACTACTGAAGCAGCACCAGTCGAGGTGCAATTGAAATGCACCGAAACGAAGTTGTATCTTTGTAGTGAGTAAACTGGTTTTGTCTATATGATAAAATTATAATATATATATATATATATATATATATATATATCAACTGATTTAAAATATGGTTTCTTCGCTACACAGTAATAACCATGTTTCAAAAACTAAAGCTAAAAACTTCAAATTTAATTATATAATTAAATTAAAAGCTTTAGTTCTGTTTCATCTTCAAGATAATTTTGGAATAACTCATTTTTAAATTTACTTAGTTTTAAACGCACATATAAATTCATAATTTCCTGTTTCCAAGGATACAGAGAAATCCAATCATTCAGACAGGGGCGGTAGCGTGTTCATTTTTATTAACTATTATTGTATCAATTATGAGTTACGTTCGAAAATGAGATTAACTTCAGTCTTTGAAACATGGTTGTTACTGTGTAGCGATGAAACCATATTTTAAATCAGTTAATTTATGATATTTAAGCTCTGTAAATTTACATTGAGCATTGTTTAGTAAAAATAAAAAAAATTAAAATATCAATAAGAACACCGGGTTATATATCTTACTGTTCTTTCTTGGGAGACATATAGAACCCTATATCTCAAGTTCAGGTTTATTTAGATTTTCTGAAATTTGCTTGGCCTGCTTCAAGTCCAGTGACGATGAAGAAAATATGTAACCTTCTCAGCCGCATAGATTCTTTTTTTCTCGCTTTCTTTCTTCGACAATTTCTTTTTTCTTTCTTCATGTGTTTCTTTTTCTTTCTATTTTTCTTTCTCTCTTTCTTTCTTTATTCATTTTTCTTTCTTTTTTTCTTCTAGTATTTTTTCTTTCCTTGTTTCTTCTTTCTTTCCTTGTTTCTTCTTTCTTTCCTTCTTTCTTCTTTCTTTCCTTCTTTCTTTCTTTCTTTCTTTCTTTCTTCTTTCTTCTTTCTTTCCTTCTTTCTTCTTTCTTTCCTTCTTTCTTTCTTTCTTCTTTCTATCTTTCTTTCCTTCTTTCTTCTTTCTTTCCTTCTTTCTTCTTTCTATCTTTCTTTCCTTCTTTCTTCTTTCTTTCTTTCTTTCTTCTTTCTTTCTTTCTTTCCTTCTTTCTTTCTTTCTTTCTTTCTTTCTTTCCCTCTTTCTTCTTTCTTTCTTTCTTTCTTTCCTTCTTTCTTCTTTCTTTCTTCCTGTATTTTTCTCCGTTTTTCTTTCTATTTTTCTTTCTTCATGCATTTTTCTTTTTTTTCTTTCTTTTTCTTTCCTTCTTCGTGCATTTCTTCTTCTTTCTTTCTTTTTCTTTCCGTTTTTCTTTCTATCTTTCTTTCTTCGTGAATTTATTCTTTTTCCTTTCCTTTTTCCTTTTGAAATTTCATCTTTTTTCTTTCTTTCGTCCTTTCTTCATTTCTTTCTTTCTCTCTTTCTGTTTCATGCATTTTCTTCGTTTTTTCTTTCTTTCGTATTTCTTCTTTCTTTCTCCCTTTCTTTCTTCGTGTATTTATTTTTCTTTCTTTCTTTCTTTCTTTGATTCTTTCTTTCTTTCTTTCTTACTTATTTTCTTTCTTTCTCTAAGCATTTCTTCTTTCTTTCTGTCTATCTTTCTTTCTTTCTTCCTTGTTTTTCTTTCTTACTTTCTTCATGAATGTTTTCCTTCTTTCTCTCTTTCTTTCTTGCATTTATTCGTTTTTCTTTCTTACTTTCTTTTTTTTTACCCCCTCTCCTCTTCATATTTCCTTTCCTTCTTTTCTATTTGCCTTCCTTCAAATGTTAACCTATATTCTTGATCCCTTGGGGACTCGGATGATATGTCAGTGAAATATTTCACCCGCTACTCAAATTCTCCGAGCCATCTTTCCTCATGATGTGCTCCGGAAATTTCTCTCTTTTTCTAATGTTTAATGTCTTTTGACACGCACCAAACTCCACATGAACCTCCTTGTATGATCGCAGAAGATGCCCTAATTATCCACCTGCGGTATGAGAGAAAGAGAGGACGAGAGAGAGAGGGAGTGAATGATTTGCGTCAACTGGTGCCACTCAACGCATTTCTGGCAATTAAACACATGTGCCAGGAATATCGAATTTCCATCATAGAATTTGAGGAACTTGTCGGACTAGAAGGGAAGGAGAATGGATATTAGAGAGCGGAAATTGGAATGAGAAAAGAAAGAAAGAAAAAATGGTGATATATATATATATATATATATATATATATATATATATATATATATATATATATATATATAAAAAAAAGGCTTAAACACTAATATTCCATGGTCATAATTTATTCCATTGGAATCGTAAATACGATCCAAATCTAATATTATCAATATATATATATATATATATATATATATATATATATATATATATACACAATTATTATAATATTTTTATTATAATAAATTACAATAAAAACAATTTACATCGCTACACAAAAGCTTTCATATCTCAGTACTATGATCGAACCTCTTCGGGCGAAGATTTGTTTATCTTTGCCCGAAGAACGAAATAACACTAAAAGTATCGGCAACAAAATTTTTAGGAAAAATATTTTTAAAATTTTTTTACATATTTAGGAAGCTTCTTAAAGGGGTCAATAGGTCACTTCTTCAGACGATGATAAAGAATTTGTGAGCTGTCGATTTTTACTCCATATCTTCTTTCTCTCATTTGTATATGTATATATATATATATATATATATATATATATATATATATTTTCTCTCATTTATATATATATATATATATATATATATTTTTCTCATATATATATATATATATATATATAATTTTTCTCATTGTCTATCTATATATTTTTTTTTTCATATATATATATATTTTCTCTCATTTGTGTATATATATATATATATATATATATATATATATATATATATATATATATATATATATATATATTATTTTCAATATCTGTATATATCTTCACTATAAAAAAATATTTCTACACTTTCATTGTGTTTTGACACCAGTTTAGGGGTTCACTATTTGCCCATATTTGGGACTCTAACAGGTGCTACCACCCCGGGTCAGGAGGAACCTGAAGACAACGGTAACTAAAAGGTGGTTCAACGCTTCTCAAAACCTCCAATCAGAGTACTTGCTGCCGGGTGTAGTCTATCGTCATACCCAGGACGACCAATGATATATAAGTTTCCTGGGCATAAACTGGGAGTCTATATTGTATTACTTTTTAAGTGATAAATTGATCTCCCTAAATGAATGCATATTAATATAATAATTAGAAAACATTATAATTTAAAGTTTTACACGCGTGATGCAGAAAATAACAGTAAGAAAAAAAAAGTTTTTGTCCATCGCCATCTTGAGAGTCAACTCTATTTGCATGTTATAAACATATATAGGCGTTTTTTGTTATGTACTAATTTGCATGTGTTTTTCATTTATCTACGACTTGATAAAGTGTCCCGTGTACTTAAAATACGCACGAATGAATTAATTTAAAACTTAACTGATATTTTGAAAGACATTTGGATGAAAAAAAAACGTTATGATTGCATGCATAATCAAAGACCATTTGTTTAATCTGATAAAACTCAACTCAAATCGCCTGTTTCTCTTCTTAATGTCGACAACAGGAAACTGGTTGACATACAAAATAGTAACTAATTAAATACCGTTAATGTATACGCCAAGTTCTACCCGGTTTACAAGATGGTCATACCGGTTCTCAGAAAGTCTTTTTTTTTTCTTTTTATGAGCTTTCTCCCTTCAGGACGTAGACGATGATGGCTCTCCACTTCTCCCTATCTCTTATAGCTCTCAATAATTTTTGTTACTTTCCCCAGGCCGTATTCTATCATCTACTTACTTAAGCCCCTTGTCTCTCTTTCCCTCTATTCGACCTATGAGTATCAGATTCTCCAAGCCCTCTTTTCTCATTACGTGTCCCTGAAACTTCAACTGCCTCTTTCTGATGTTAAGTATAAGCTTCCTCCTTGTTTACATACTCTCCAAAACCTCATCGTTGCTCACACACTCAGTCCTTTAAGCTAATTTGGAAAAGTGACATTATACGCAGGTGTTTTTTAATTATTTTTGAAGAGGAACAAAGAATGTACATATATGATAACGGTAATAGGAATTTTTTTTTACGGTTTATCAACACTGTACTGGTTATTTACAGCCAGAAAATATTTTAGATTGTAAGAATTTATATGGGGATGAAAATTTTACTGATAGACGTCTTACTAATTAACCCATAGCTGGGGTGAGAAGAGATGACTACATACTTTTCCAAAGGGTATTTCCGCGTAAGTGAACATAAAGAACTCGAGTGGTAATTGTTTCCTGAGTTGCATTCATTAACCGCCGAGCAGCCAGTACTGCTTTCGGTCGAAATTTATAAAATCTTTCTCTTAAAACAATTTTCCAGAAAATAGATTTTTCAAGTCCAGTAACTGTTAGAGAAATTGAAGAGCCGAGATCGAATTCCATTCGAATCCATTACATTCACTTATATGCTAATACCCTTGGGAAAGGTATGAATCCTCTTCTTCTCCCCCGTCTATGGACAAATAGCAGGACAGACTGAGTTCTATAGCCTTGGATGGCAACTGGTCTACCGCAGAAAGAAATGGCAACCTACTGCGGGAAAAAATATATCTCATTAGACATGTATCGAAAGATACATGATCGTCTACGCGTGTATCACGCATGGCACATAACTGGCTGAACTGTTCTTGCTCTTCCAAATATTGAGGAGGATTTCCTTCCTAACGTTTTGTTTGAAGTAGTGTGGAAAGCATCGTATTGATTATGTCAGTATTTTCTCATCAAGTAACATGTGATATCCATTTTAGTTGTTGAGGCTGCTGAAAGTCATCAAGTGATTAGGTTTCTGTAATATGATACAGTTTTTGTCTAAGATTATGTTGCGCCAGACTACGAAATTCCAAAATGTTTGGTCCTCGCTAGGACCTACCTTCATTCACACGAAGTCAGTTTTAATCATTGATCTGAGAATGCACAAGTGTACATTTGTTCCTATTTGAAATTTCTGGAATTTATATTGAGGAAAGAGGACTCTGAGAATTTAACATTCACAAGACATATTGAATAACCTACATAATGGTGTAGAAAAAACAAAGGAGAAACTGGCCGTCCCCTTAAGGTAAGACTGCAAGAACATCGTAAAGCGGTAACACAAGCGGAAATATAAAAATCAGGAGCTGACCACATATGGAGGGAAAAAGGGAGATCGCCGCCCCCCTGTGGGATAAGGTTGAAATAATACACAGAGAGCATCACTAGAAAATACGAAAACTTAAGGAATCAGCACATACGCTGGGCCACAAAAATCACCTGAGCCGACCAAGCATAGAAATGAATACAATATTGGAACCAGTAATAAGGAGTGCTAGAGAAATGCAATGAATAACAATAAAAAATTGCAATATAAGCTCTGGTAAAAAATATAAAATAATAACAGAAAAATTGCAATATGAGCACCGGTAAAATATGGTTGCTGAGACATTAGGTTTATAAGTCCCAAAAATTCATAGACACATGTCCTCAAGGACATGTGTGTATAAATGACACATGGCCCAGTGGATAAAGGGGTTGGTTAGATCCGGTGACTAGACACAAAGAGTTGTGCGTTCAATACCAGGCCACAGAACCAAACTTAAAGAGTTAAGTTAAGGGGAAATAACTGAGTTATCCGGAACGTGTAACTAGGCATGACTTCGTGCAAATGAAGGTTTTCGAATTTCCCAGTCTGGCGCTACAGAATCATAAAATAAAATAAATCATATTACAGAAACCACAAAATAAAATGACGAAATAAACGTTTCGGTTCGAAATTCCAATGAAGAAAGCCGGACGTACAACGACCGAAACATTATCAAGATGAGGATAACAGTCCGAATAATGTAAGTAACTAAGAGTTTGTGTAAGTGGATGACAGGACAAAGAGTCGGGGGGATTCACATACAAAGGATTGATAGCTGTAGAGAACCATGATCGCCATTAAGCGAAACGCCACATAGAAGAAGAACTATGTTTTGAATTATCATTAGTGGTTGCTTAATCAGTAGCGGATCTACTATGAAACTAATTAAACTTTAACTTCAAAGCTTCTAATCCCTGAGGAGGCCATGAAGCAACTTTTTTTTTAATGATTGAATTTTTCAATAAAATCGATGTTTTTTTTTAAGTGCCTGTTATTAAAATAAAACTATTTTAGCGACAGACTCATAATCCAATGGGTTGAAGTATCAAATGCTTGAATAGAATAATTGAATAATGAACGAAGCAATATAAACTCGCCAGAATCTATTCATAGTCTATATTTTGGCAGTTGGGCCACTGAATTTATTGTTACTGCTTTATTGTGAAGGTGTCTCCATATTTGTTTAAGCTTCAAGCCTCCAAAAATGTAGATCTGCCACCGGTTAGACCATATCTACTCTATAACTGTAGTGAGCTGGATTTTACAGTATAAACACAATTACATGTGGTCTTTACATAGACGAACATTTTCCCTTGTGTTTAAGCGCGTGAGATAACGATTCCATCTAACTATCTCTGTTAAAACAATGTCACAAAAGGCTTTTCTGCCCTTTGCAAACGTTTTGCATTGATTATTATTCCCGATACGTGATAACTTACGTGACAACATGGGCAACTTATTCTTTAGTAAATTCTACTAACATTTTGACTCAGGTTCCTATATTTGTATATGAATGCAATATTTGTACACGTAACATGGAGTCTTTTTGTCTCTTCATACATTTCTATTTCTGTATTAGTTCATCCAACCGATTCTCCTAATGTTAGTTACGAATTGCTGAGTGAAAGATTCATTTTACCTCTCATTAATTTTTTAAGATTTATTGAATTTGTTTTCGATCCGATGTCATAGTAAAGGCTTTATTTTTACAGATATTAAACAGTGATATTATTTACATTATTCGGACTATTGTCCTCATCTTTGTCGCCATATTTATTACAACGTTTCGGCCGTTGTACGCTCCGGCCTTCTTCAGGTGGTTGGAATGTCGAACTGAACCCTTTATTTCGCTCACTGGGGTAGACTGTTCTAGTTCCACGTGCCATGTCTAATTGATGTCATTTATCAGTTATCTCCTGTTAATTTCTCTCTGAAAGTTCTCCACTGCCTTACCAGGGTATTGAACTAAAACTCTTTGGGTCCTGTCACTGGATCTAACCAACACCTTTATCCACTGTGCCATATGTCCTTGAGGACATTCCAACCACCTGAAGAAGGCCGGAGCATACAACGGCCGAAACGTTGTAAAAAATATAGCGACAAAAATGAGGACAATAGTCCGAATAATGAAAATAATGTACATAATACCTCATCTCAGAAATATAGACAGATATTGAACAGTACCAACCATTTATTTTATATTGGATGTCTAGACTGTTTAAATCTCATATTGTGGCTGTCAATTGATTGAAGGGGGCAACTTTTGTGGGAGGGGGGAATACCACATAACAGAGGATGTCTTTGCTGGCACAAGCTACCAGTTTTAAAACAAACTAACGAACACCAGCCGTTTCAGGTTGGGTAATGCAACACGTTATCTCGCCTTTCGAACTGAAGATCACTTTCACCGCTCTGTGTATTCCCCATTGTCATATGGTGAGGGAATTCACAAAAATATAGTTAACTTTTCAAATTATGAATTAGAGAATGCTTTCAAATATACTAAAAACTTACTGTGTAAACAAAGGAAATCTATAGTTATAGGAATGTTTTATTTGCTAACCGTGTTTGGAAAATAAAACATTCCTATGACTCTAGATACATACATAAAACAATACTTAGCTTAAAGTAAAACACAAAACATCTTTCACAAATAGTAAATATGCGAACAATACAATGCTTTCTAAGTATATCTGGGAAATTAAAAACAAAACGCACATCACACCAAAAATATCTTGGAAAATAAGGTAAAGATCATCAGCCTACAACAACCAATCAAAAACTTGCAAACTTTGCTTGGAGGAAAAAATAGCTATCATTACATTCCCAGACCAAAATATATTATTAAATAAAAGATCCCAGCTCATCTCAAAATGCAGACATGAAAACAAATTTTTACTACGTTACTTAAAAATCGAAAACGGAAAAAATAAAATAAAATAAAAATAAATAAACAAAATAAAAAAATTAGCAAAATTAATTAACCCAAACAAATTACCAAATCCCACCTGTTAGAATAGACGAAATAGAATAAATAAAAAACCAATGAACCCAAATAAACAAAGTAAATAATAAACAAAATAGCAAACCATTATGACCAAAATATTAATTAGACTATAAAAATCAAACTAAAAAATCGGACGAAAAAATAGCTATAACTGTTACATAACGATAAAAAAATACTACGTTACTTAAAAATCGAAAACCGAAAAGAGAAAATATATAGTATAACAAATAAATAATAACAAGTAAAATAAATTGACCTAAATTCATCCAAATAAATAAATAAACTAATCCTGATAAACTAACCGTTAGAAAAAACAAATAAAGATAATCAATCCAAATAAATGCATAAAGTAATAAACAAATTAAAAACTGTTCCCGCCAAAATAATAGTTAGAATAAACTACAACAATCACATCCCAAAATTGAATAAATAGCTTTAATTATCTTCCCAAACCAAAACAAAACTATTAAATAAGTGATATAAACAAATATTTACTACGTTAATAAAAACACCGATTAAAAAATAATAAATAAATATATAAGATAAGAAATAAAAATAAAAAAAATAAAAATGAAAATAAAAAATAAAAATAAAGAAAAACAAGCAAAATAATTTAACCCAAATAAATAAGTAAACAAATAAACGACTTCCGGTAAAATAACCGCCAAAATAGACTAACCACAATGCACCACTGACCCGTGTATATATATATATATATATATATATATATATATATATATAGCGAGAAAAATAACAGCACTCGTGGCCTGACGATTGCATCTCGCATAAAACAGACTGTCGCCTCTAAGTGTTGACTTCTATGTTCACTTTTATATTTATACATACATACATGCACACACACACAGATAGATAGATAGATAGATAGATAGATAGATAGATAGATAGATAGATAGATAGATAGATATACTGTAAGTAAATCAAGTAGTCGTACCAACTGAAACCCAAAATAAAGAAAAGTAAAATATAAATGAACATATTTATTCCCAAATCCAGCAAGAAATCAAATAAATATTTCTCAGCACATAGGCAACAGTTGTTAACGCAAATTTACAATCTTTAATGAAAATCTTGAAATGTTTCTTGACGCATTTCAGGTGTCACCGAGCCTGCCGTTAATGAAATTCTTTAAATTCTGAAGTGTTTCAGGTTTTATGTTCTAAACCCAATTCTTAATATGGCCGCAAATAAAAAAAGAAGTATCAAGACATGTAATATCAGGTGACCATTCTACTCAGATCAGCAGTCACAAGCCATCAAATTGTTAATTTTCTATCAAAAAACTCTACGACATAACGTAATTATTGTGCAGGTGCACCGTCCAGCTGAAACATCAGACTTTGGCAAAGTCTTTCTGAAGAGTTGTCAAAGAAAGATATTTTCAAGTCCATTTTCATGTTCAAGGCATTTTCACCTGTAACGTTCCCATCAATAAAGAAAGGTCTGTAAACTGTTGCTGATGACAACTCCAGACATTTTCCTTTGGGCCTGACTGTCATTACCAATTGTTTCCATGGATGGTTCAATTTCATGCACAACTTTCCTTATTGATTGAGTTGTACATAAAACAATAGTTTTTCACTTATTTGGACTGTTATCCGCATCTTTATCATTATGTTCACGACCTTTCGGTCGTTGTACACCCCGGCCTTCTTCAGGTGATTGGAATTTCGAACCGAACACTTTATTTCGTCCACTGGGGTAGATTGTTCTAGTTCCACGTGCCATGTCTCTTCGGGATATCCCAGTTATAAAAAAAAATAATATTTCTCCAAGTTTTGGTTCACCACTGGTTTTGAACTTACAACTCTTTGGATCTATACAATGGATCTAACCCACATCTTTATCCACTGGGGTATGTGTCCTTGACGGTTCGGTTCGAAATTCCAATCACCTGAAGAAGGCCGGAGCGTATAACAGCCGAAACCTTGTAAATATGGCAATGAAGATAATGATAACAGTCCGAATAATGTAAATAATGCAAGTAATCATAATACCTCATCTCAGAGATATAGAGGCCGAAACGTTGTAAATATGGAAATGAAGATGAGGATGACAGTCCTAATAATATAAATAATGCAAGTAATCATAATACCTCATCTCAGAGATATAAAGGCCGAAACGTTGTAAATATGGCAATGAAGATGAGGATAACAGTGAGCTCCAGGACTTGACCGACAGACTTTTTGAAAGAGCAAGAGCATATGAAATGGATGACAGCTCCGAGCAATCCAAAGTAACGGTCAATAAGCATAAGTAGCAATACCTGTGTCAAAATTACCATGAACGGGAATTCACTGGAGGAAGTGTCAAGTTTTAAATAATTAGGAGCAATCTTGTCTAAAGATGGTACCTGCACCTCGGAAATCCGCACACGGTTTGCCGCAGCCATAGCAGCGATGGCTAAATTGGCAAGAATATGGCGGAGCAAAATCAGTTTTCAAATAAAGTACATACTGCGCAAATCGCTGGTAGTCTCCATTCTTCTATATGGATGTGAAACGTGAACACTGTTGGCAGAAGCAGAGAGAAGGATCTAAGTGTTTGAGAAGAAATGCATGAAAAAACTCCTTAGCATCTTCTATTGGGAACATAAAACCATTGAGTTTGTGCGGAAAATGTTGAAAGTTGTGTGAGCCACAAGGAACCTCTTCTCGCCATTGTCAAACAGAGAAAAACGGCGTGGTTAGGATATATTACAAGGCATGACAGCCTGCGCAAGGAACTTTTAAAGATGGACGTAGGAGAGGATGGCAACGTAAAAACTGGTTGGGCAATGTTAAACAATCGACAAGTATGTCTGGAACCAGAATTGCTGATGGCTGCCATTGATAGACCGTTGTGAAGAGATTCAATATGGCTTCTGTATTAGGATTCCCACTATAATTACAAAGGTCAAGAGGACTATTATTATATATATATATATATATATATATATATATATATATATATATATATATATATATATTAATGCATATTTCATTAAATAATATAGACAAGTTTTGTCTATATTTTGTATTTATACAGCTTATAGTTATTAAAAACAAGTATCATAACATTCATCGAGTGATTTGTAAGTTAATGAAACTTTAAAATTTTGTTTGCGAAAGAATTTCGCCATTATATATCATTAATTTTAATAATCTACTTTTTGTATAAATGATTCATTGTAATATATATATATATATATATATATATATATAGAGAGAGAGAGAGAGAGAGAGAGAGAGAGATGCGCATATAAAATATTTTATACACACTTTCACACACTATCTATGGACCTAATATCTGAATGCAGAACTCGGGATTCATCAAAAACCAGGCAAAGTTTATTCCCATTTCTGTTGTCCAATTTTCTTTGATCCTTAGCGATTTGTGCTCATTTTCTTGTTCGTAACTGATAGGAGTGGCGCCCGGTGTGTGTGTGTGTGTGTGTGTGTGTGTGTGTGTGTTTCTGCTGCTGTAGCTTACCTGCTTCAAGGTTCGCTTGGACCAATCTGGCCATTCTCCTCTGACCTCTTTCATCAATAATGGGTTTCAGTGAAGAATTGCATTCACAACGGTTTTCCAGCCGCATGTTTGAATTCGGAGATTCCTTCTCCTAAGCTGGTTGCCGGAACGCAGTCTTTTCTGCTATTTTACCCATAGATCGTGGAGGACGGAAGATGGATTCATACCTTTTCCAAATGTATTAGCAGGTAAATGAATGTAATGAACTTAACTGGAATTCGAACTCGGCACCCTGATTTCCGCTCACCGTACCTCCATATGTGTATGTCTATATCCATGTGCAGTTTAAAATGCGTACATAGTTGTCATATCATTAGCTGATTAGAAATCTTCATAAAAGAGCGTGTGTCCGTGTGTGTGTGTGAGTGAGAGAGAGAGAGAGTGTGTGTGTGTGTGTGTGTGTGTGTGTGTGTGTGTGTGTGTGTGTGTGTGTGTGAGAGAGAGAGAGAGAGAGAGTGTGTGTGTGTGTGTGTGTGTGTGTGTGTGTGTGTGTGTGTGTGTGTGTGTGTGTGTGTGGAATCTAAAGTTGAAATGGATACGACCTTCTCTGTTATGCTAGTCTATGTTCGAATCCATTTAACGGTTTCCATCAAGAATGCCGATTTTTCCACTTGGCACATTACGATCGTGTGTCTTTGTAGTATTTTTTTAAATCGTTATCGCCGCAAGCAAGGAGAGAAAAGCATAATCAGGAGGACATTATATGGCAATTGACATTGCATTTAAATTTTTGCGGATTAAAGTTAGCTGGAATGCATAGAGCCGGAAGGAATGTCCACAAGCGAGAAGTGCGAGAAAAGAAACTGTTAGCATGGAAGTCACAGCTACATCTAGCTAGTTCATTTGTAAACTGATGAGATCTCGACTCCAGTCTAGTACTGCGCTTAAATTCATAGAATCTAAGTACCATAGTGAAGATCTCATCCGAATAATTACCATGAAGGTGTTTATAGAAAAGGCTCAGAGAGGCAACCTTAGGTCGGTGGGTAAGTAATTGAAGCCGAGCCACCAGATCAGGACCAATAATATTGCAGATTCTTCTTTGGATCTTATCAAGGAGCTCAAGGTAAATAGAAGGAGTATCGGGCCGTATGTGACAGCAATATTCTAAGCATAGACAAATGGTAGACTTATAGATATGTAAGATAGATTCTGGAGTGAAAAATTGTCTCGCACAATACAGTTAACCGACCTTCTAGGCAGTCGACATGGCAATGGTTTCCATTTATTGCACTGCGTTCTTCTAAAATCGACCACTACTTTAAGTATATGGACTTTAAGTGTATGCCTATCCATATCTGTGTCTACCCCTCTACCGATTTGCGCATTCAGTAAGCTTTACCTCTGCTACGTAACTCGTGTCCACTTTACCCTTGAGAAACAAGAAACAAGAACGAAATTTACGTGTCAAAGTCATTTGTACATATATATATATATATATATATATATATATATATATATATATATATATATATAAAAAATAAAAAAAAAAAAAAGTAAACAAAATCAACTCATTCCTGAACTATGACAACATGCGGTCGATAGGAAGCCAACTTCCACTCAACGAAATCCTTGACCTGAAAAATAATTGTATCCTCAATTTTACAATCGTTGATTATCACTCGCCTTTTCTATAATCGCGGTCTGGATACGCTCTCATAAAAGGAGAGGTAACGGAAAACAGAGTTTCTTATTTTATTTTCCTATAAAATTATCTTTCGTAAAATCACATACTTATATATATATATATATATATATATATATATATATATATATATATATATATATATATATATATATATATGTATATGTATGTGTGTGTGTGTGATTTTACGAAAAATAATTTATAGAAGAATATATATATATATATAGGGAGAGAGAGAGAGAGAGTGAGAGAGAGAAAGAGAAAGAGAGAGAGGCACGCACGCATGCACTCACGGTGGAGTAGTGGAAAGCAGCTCGGATTGAGGAATCGAAGAGCAGAGTTCGAATTCCAGTCGAATCCATTACATCCACTTACGTGCTAAAGGGGAAAGATATTAATCCTTTTCTTCTCCCTCCAACTATGGGTAAATATCAGGACAGACCGGGTTCTATAGCCTTGGATGGCAACTAGTCTAGGAGAAGGACAACTCTGAATTCAAAGCCTGCGGAGGGTCGTTTGAGGACTTTGTGGCACGTAGTGCACCAGGCGTCTGTATTCAGCCCTCCAAAATGTGTGGTTGGTTCTGCACAAAGCCTTCACTACTATACGTGTGTGTGTTTGTGCGTGTTTAAAATAGGATATAGAATCCTGACAAAGTTTTTAAAGAAATTTGACAAATAGATAACTTTTCGTTGAAATTAGATTCGATTATGCGTTTCGCTTTTCTTGGAATCATCAGAAACCAAAAACAAAAGCAAGAAATGTGTGTCTGTGTGTATTTG